TTTCGGTAGAAGTGGTATTTATTTTTACGCTATGGGGTTTCTACCCTCGTGCCCAATCTTTCCTCTTTACTAGTCCTATTAATGATTTAGTGAGGTATAGGAATGCATTGACCGGAGATCGAACGCCGAACCACATAAGTGATTGGAGAGCGTTCTACCCCTGTGTCACCGACGAAAAACACCTGAAGAAGACGACATTATATCTTCAGAAGTTTAAACAGACACTTTAAGTACCTTAGTCATCACTGTATGAATGCAAAATTCTGACAACTTCCCATTTCCCCTAAGTCTTTTACAAGTTTTTACTGTTTTAACCATCTTTAATTCTCACATAAATTTTTTTGATTTAAACCGATATTTAGTTTAGTATTACCTTTTTGATGCACATTGTCATTTAGAACTGTAATTCTATTGCATTTAACTACCGGAAATTATTTGAAAAACAACAATTTTTGTCAATAACGATAGCTCAGTGGTAACGTCTCTGACTGAAGCATTGGGTAACGCAGGTTCGAATATCAGAAGGGATTTGGGTTCCTTCAAGACTGCTGACTGGTGAGTGCGAACTAACACGAAACCTAGGTCGAAGGCTTCTTGCCGATTACCTCCAAGTATCTAATACTAACAATAACAATTACACTTTAAGTAATACGTTTCTGTAACTGTAGAACCTGGTTAGGTAGTTACCCAAAAAAGAATAATCTTTGCTCAGTTTCTTTTTGTCTTTTAAGCTGGTAGTATTCTTTAAACATGAGTAAATGGACATATTTATTCATTTGAAATTATACTGTCAAAATGAATTGATAATTCCAGACTGCTTTTATTCAAAGTGAATAACTATTTTTATATTTTTGATTACAGCTTGGTTCCACACCGTATTTTTTTTGGTACAAGTATGGAATTTTCAACGTGGATATCGGTAGCCCAAATTTCGCAGGCCGACCATAGGTATCAGGTGTCCGTCGGCGTGGGCTCGAACCCCGGACCATGGTCGGCGAGAGTTCTAACCACTGTGCCACCGACGCCACTAATGTAACGGGTCAACGACCTCGTTCTGGTGGTCTGAAAATCCTGATTATGACTCCCAGTGGGATTGTAGGAGCTTACTGTTGAAGAGTCCCAAGCTAGGAGGGAATAGCTGTAAAGTACCCCTTGGTTTTCAACAGTTTTATAGCTGAATACATACAATTCATGATCTAATTTAATATTACCTTTATTATTTGATTCATAGTGGTCAGCAGTCATCCCACTGGGAATTTTTCAGGCAAGTATACATGCTTCTCCAATCAATGATAATGTTCCTATCGAGTTAATAAACTTTTCAAGTTATTCTGTGTATGTCATCGACTGTTCAATAACTAGTGTTTGTTTTAATTCCTTAAATTCTAGAAAAGAATTTTCATAATTATTTATCCTTTTTTCATCATCAGCTACTTTCAATATCTTTATGAACATTTCAATATTATAATAACTATAGCCTTAATGATATCAGTATTATTATTATAATGAAATTTGATAATTTTTCTAATCAATAATGTGACGATTTATTTTACATTTTTTTACCAATATATTAATATATATGCTGTTGATGTTTATCGACCACTTTTATCTTTCTACGAAACAGATTTTCCTATGTTTGATTAACTGGGGTGGAGATAGAGATCTAGATAAAATTGCAAATATATATATATATATATGTTTACATCACAAACAAACAAAGAGAGGTGATTTAAATAAGCGTGTATTGTGGTAGATAACCTTCTGTGTAGGGTTTTTATTCGCCACGCAGATTCAAGTGACTATTAATGGATAGGTTATAGTGGCCATATATATTTAATGTACCCTTGAAATGATGTCTATCTGTCTTCTATATTAGATAAGACTATTTTAATTATCACACAGTGATACAGTATTAACAATTGGATGACAAGGTTTCAAGTACAATTTATTGCTCCGAATCATACCAGTTTAGTCACATGGTTTCACAATTTGTCTCTTTAATATATATATTTTTCACTTTCTGTTTATGCGGCTTCCCTCTGTTGTTTGTTGCCACTTCTCATATCTCGGTTATAGGCGCTGCATCATTCCGATTGCACGTGCGCGGTGTTGAATCAATAAACAAAGCTTATGTGATGAACTTCACTATCTCCAACTAACTATATTACTTTTTAATAATCGCATCCCGTCCCACCCACCCTATTTCGTGACTTCATGCAAGTGAATGCAGTGCAATGACTGAACCTTTTTCTAGGTTATTTAACTTATCACGGTCATTCATTCTCTCTGTCTGTCTGTTTTCGACATAGAACTTTGCACCGATGTGCGGCAGTTCAAGTCACCACACTCCATGTAGCACACAAACCAACAGAAGAAAGTAGAAGAAATGCATAATAGAGACAGTAAACAGAGGCGTGAGACAAAGGAATAGTAATAAAGAAGAACAAAACAGTTCCATTGGAAATCATGAGTCACAAGGAGTGGATGCATCCGCGCTAGCCATTGAGAACGATTTTGAGCCATATCACCAATTGTTTCCAACCATTGGTTTTTACCATCCCGAGACCCCAACCAGGAAGTCTACACCTTCCTACGTGGCTGGCTTAAACTAACTGTTGTGGATTTCATTGACTGGTGCCATGTTTTGGTTTGACCGCCGCTAGCTCTTTTCCAGCCTGATCCTATATCAGCTAACGTCGCCTGTTGTCGAGGAAGGCGATGACTAGGCATACGTAACACATGTCTTAACCATCTCAGTCGATGCAATTTCACAGCCTCATCAATTGATTTCCTCTCCTACTTACCTAGAACTTGACGCCTAACCTCAATATTATTCACCTTGTTATACCACTTAACACGGGAGATAGAACGCAGGCACCTTTGATCAAAGACAGCTAATCTTTTCATGTCTTCCACTCTCAATGGCCAGATCTCACAGCCATAAAGGAGGACGAAGCGAAGTGACTGCTGAGCAGTACACCCGCCTTTTGGTCGATAGTCGGATATCTCGTCTACGCCAGAGACGGCGTAAATTGACATATACGAAACTAGCTCTCTGTATCCGTGCTGAGATTTTTGTCAGAATCAACCCGTTGGGCTGGCTGATGCAACTTCCCAAATAAGTGAAGCGGTCAATGTGCTCTACCACTTCATTGCCTATTTCTAAGCTAGGAGTCAATGTAGTTCAGTCCTGTAACATCATCTTTCATTTGGCGGAAGCGAATCGCATGCCAAACATTCGTAGATTGCGGCTCAAGGTGTTCATAAGACTCTACATTTTGTCAGCCTCCTCGCCTAGAAGGACTATATAGTCTACATATTCTAAGTCAACGAGATTATTCCCTTGTAGCAAGTCAGTCCCTGAGTCGCTGATGTCACTTAGGGTTAATTCCATTAGTACATCTATGATGAAATTGAAAAGAAATGGGGATAGTGGGCATCCCTGACGAACACCACTAGTCGTCACCACTTCAGATGACAACTCGCCATAAGCTCTCACCTGGCTGCATGAGCTCAAGTAGAGTGCCTTGATCCGTGCAATGTATTTTCTTGGCATTACCTTTACAGCTAAGCATCACCAGAGTACCTCTCGTTCGACAGAATCGAATCCCACCTTTAGGTCAAGAAATATAACGATTGTTAGGCGTTAGTAAGAATGCCTATGTTCTAGAATCTGTCGGAGGGTGAAGATATGATCAATACACCTTCTTTCTGGTATAAAGCCTGCCTGTCTCTCTCTCGTGTTTGTACCTCCCGAGGACCACTTAGTCTACACAATATTATTGAGCCTAAGACTTCAGATACTATAGTCATTCTAGGTCTAACCGGCTTAATTTTTATGTTCCAGTAATCTAGTTAACCCTGATCTACTAGTTTGACCTGTGTAACTGACCTCACAGCCATTAATTGCATGGTATTTCGTAAATTATGTTATTTTTCTTAATTGTATCTATTGGGTCTTTAAGCCAACAAAGTTTATCTCTGAGAGAGTTAGTTGGTTGTTTTAAATGCCACCCTAATTCTATCTGTCTTGTACGACTGATTGTAAATGTTGAGGCGATATGTATACAGAATGTGTTTTATAATGGTGCTGATTAGTCAGTAATTGTATGGAGCAGGATCCAGAATGTGCATTTCATCTTCTCTTGGACTTGTCTGTTGGGTACACTTGCCTTCTCACTGAGACTCGAACCTAGCAGCCATCGCTTCAAACTTCAGAACCCTATTCAATCAGATAACATTGTGCTCATCTCAGTGCATTATTAACGCCCTTGTACTAGGAGCTGACATGTCAATAGAGATCAAGTATTTCAGTCAGTCAATGGAAGATTGAAAATCACCCCAATAAACAGAGTTATAATATTGTTTAGTTCCTAATATATAGCATTAATTAGCTGATTATATCATCGGCTGTCCATTTAACAACCACATAAAAAAATGTTGGGAAATAAAACTCCTAAAGTACATTAGAGTACCAATTGTAAAATGAATAATTTGGGGCACAAGTGAATCAGTTTACAATTGCAGCCTCACTTTAAGAAAGGATATAAAATAAGAGAAAACTGTAACGACACTTCTATGGAAGAACATGGATGTGATTGAGAAATAATCAATAAGTGAAGAGCGCTGGAATATTATAAGGTCTACTAGATGAGAAGAAGTGATTACATCCATTCCATTATAAACTGTATGAAGCTACCTTGAGAAGTGTCGTCAAATTCTGAGTTTCAGCCTTCCAGTGGACTACAGTCAGGGCAAGTATACCTTTTTATGGGGCTAAAGCAAACAGTTTAACTTCATTCTGGCCACCTCTAACTCTTTTCCAAACTAATGAAACTTTGAATAGCACAGTACCTCGAAGATGATATTAAATATGCCATTGTATCAGACTGAATAGATTATACATTAAGTAAGTAAGTAAGTGAGTAAGTAAGTAAGTAAGTAATAGTAATAGTAATAGTAAGTAATAGTATATATTTCTAGAATAAACATTCACTTACTTTTGTCATCCAGCGGGCTTCTTCTGAATCAAATAATATGTATGGTGAATCAACGCGTACTAATCGTTTATTAGGTAGTTGATAATGAAAATCTCTCGTATCTAATGGTCCACTAGCTTCTGGATTATTTTCAGCTTGTTTTGGTTGATATTCTCCTGGTGCAAATACATGTGAACGTGTACGTATCGGTGTACGATAGAACATTGATGATTTCATACATCCTAAATGAATATTCACTGAACAAGTGAATAAGAATAAAATCAGGAGGAATAAATTTCTTATCGGATACATTTCATTAATGTTCATTGTGTTCATTATATTTATTTTCCCAATATGATAAATCCTAACGAAGGTAGACAATTATTTATTTATTTAACTTTTCCAACTAGTGTACAGTAAGCATTACATTGTAGGAGTTCAATAGACATTTGTGTTATACATTGTCAAAAGAAGTAGGTTAGTCCATTGTACCTTAAGTACATCAAGTTATCCTCAGTGAATACAATTCAGAAGATAATCCTTTCAGGAGTATAATGTTGACTTGCTCTATATGACCGCATTTTCATTTATATGTACTTGATTGTATGTATGTGTGTGTGTGGATGCACCCACCTTTTAGTGGTTTTTTTTTAAAAATTTGTACATCAACAGTCGTTTGTGTCATTTGCATGTCAGATTATATACAAATATATATACATACTCACATGTACGTGTATAAATATTGCCGTATTACGATGCCTAAAAAATTTCAAAATATCTCACAATCATCAATTTCTGTGCACTCGCTGAAAGGTAATTTCCTTTAAAGAAATATATTACTTTTATTTTGTAAGACTGCCAGTTAATATTCTGACTGCATGCGTACACAACATAGAATGGATAGAATAGAGTATCCCATAGTTATACAGAATATTCCTTCATATATGCATAAAAATGAGCGTAAATGTTTGTTGCAGTTTGTGTTTCCTTCTCTCTAACGCAGAAGTAATCTAATCAACTTTTTCAGATAGAAGAATGTGATGACATCTTTTTTTTGCATTTGCTTATATCTACTGTGATGTTCTACACAAAAATAGATTTAGTACCATTGGGGCATAGAGATAAGGTGGGTTTGTTTACAAACATAGCTGGATATTCGTGTTTTGGCGAATGAAAATCTGATGAGATTTCTGGTATGCCGTAGCTAATTCCATCATCACCACCACCACCACCACAATCTGAAGCCCTTGTATATTATTACCTACCTTATCATTTATCTTCATTATCCTATAAATGCACGACACCCCTTTGCCTTAAGCCCTATAGATGCATGAGGAAGACTGGCTTTAACCCCCTTCCTTCAGTTAAGAATTAACCAATCATATTGAAGATGTCATAGTGATAGGGGGTTGGTAAAAACAATCTAAAAAGACAGACATATGATAGACAGGCAAAATATCAACAGAAAATACAATATCGATGCTTGAAAAATGTGAAATAAGGTCCAGAGGAAGCTTTCTTTTTCTGTCAAGAAAAGAAAACACTAGAAAAACTGTGACAGAATTTTATTTTTGTTTGCTTTCAGTTTTGTTTTCAATTTTGGGCGGGAAAGTGGAGTGAAATGGAAAACAAAAGAGAGCAAAATGTCTACCTTTCTCTCTCCCGTTCTGTTGAATACTCTTTTGTACTTTGAAGGTAATCAGATAAATTATGATATTTTTTGTCATCACAATTTCCCTCGAATAAATTATACCATGTGATCTCAAGGAAACTGTAGTAACATTTCTACCTAGAAGTTTAGAATTTCGCTAATGATAAATTTAATTCCAGTTGAACAAACAATTTCACTTACTCTACACAGATTTCTGGAAGAATTCGACCACACGAAGTGATGTAATGGAAAAATTATTACTGTTATTAATAATAACGGTGTTATTCCAAACAAAGTGTTTATACAGTATACAGAATCCCAGGAGTAATTTATTACGTAATAACTTTCCTCATTCAAGGATATCCAGGTAAAATTCAAGTCTCTAGAATACCATGTAACGCAGTACCACTCGTTCCAACGCATAGACTAATCCCTCATGGCATTTTTTCTTTATCTCCGAGAAGTTAACACCCAGTATTTTGAAAGTTAAAATGTACGTGAATAAATTTTTAGACTCAAAAACAAATCTACAGTTCAGTTAAATAACTAAATAGTTAAAGCAATAAATGGTAGAGAAAATATGATTTATTGTATTGAATGGCAATTCAGGTGGTCCAGTGATTGAAGCAGACCTCTAGATATAGTTTGTAAATAATACAAGCACTTATTGTTAGTCTGTGTTTCTGTGACGTACGTTTGAGTGAAACAGAGATCAACCGATGAACATAATGAATCGAAGAAAAGTAGTAAATGCTTTAAAAGTCACACTTCAAAAAGTAGTCTGATTTGTCTTTTTGTACACACCGTAGTACATTGATTACTGAGTAGGGAGTAACCACTGCCGTATATCTAGTCCCTGGTGTTGGCTGTGATTAAATTCCATCAAGTAAGATTGTGAACTGACATCACGTAGACGACTACTTAACACCAAGGAGTACTGGACAACTGTTTCACCCTAGTTTGAAATTCTTTTGAAGTACTCAAACATGATCCCAGTAGGAATCAAAAGCGTCATCTTAAGGTTACGAGGTGAATTGATTAAGCATTCGACCACCATGTTAGAATTCAATGACCCGGCTGGTGTTGTAACCTGAGGGTCTTTGGTTTGATCCATGATGGGAACATAGATGCACACTTGCTGAACACTCTCAAACTAGGACGAAACAACTTTTGAGTACACCCTGCTTTTTAATGACTCTGTAAATCATTTTGGTTCGTAATGAGTTCGTATTGTAACTGTAATTTATTTAAATCAACATATACAATCATTTTCAGGAAAGTGAAGTCAAACCCGGTATCAAAAACGGAAAAGTTGTGAGTCTTCAACATTTTTCACTTAGAAGATCACCTTGAAGGAAAATTTTATTGAGACGGAGGAGCGAGTGTATACAATGTGTTTAGTTACTGCACTTCATACAGAACCCTTGCTATCAACCTGCAGCGTTGCACGATATTGTCCTCGAACCCTTTTGACGGGATCCGCTTCGAACGACCAATATACTAGACTACTTTTGGCGATGTTGAAAAGGAAGTTCTTCTCAAAGAAACAGGTAATCTTCTCTTGTAGACATTAATGAGATTACCTTTGAAGTCAAGTTTCATATAGAGCTTTATTATCGACACAGATGACGTCTCTTACCTTTGAATTTCCAACTTAATCTTCTTGTCGATAAATCTCAGTGGACATCCTTTCTGGATGATTTCTTTCAAAAAATCAAATTCTTCTTCCAGAGTGGGACGAGATATAATTACGTTCCGTCTACATTCAGTTGGTAGCCAGTTGTAGAAACTTTTTAGTTGGCAATTCCATGTGCGTTTCCTATGGATCAATCTTCTTAAAGTCCTGTCACCTCTTCTTATATATTCACCATCAAGAAGAGTAATTTTAGATGCATTTTCTTTTTCATGAGTAAACTTTGTCGCTAGATGGCAGTTGTTGAGTACCTCTAACAACTGGTTGAGATCATGACTATTTCCACAAATAATAAAAATGTTATCCCGTATCTGACCAATTCTATGTCCATTTGTTCTTGTCAATACATATATATTGGTTGTTCGAAGCGGATTCCGTCTAAAAGGCCTCAAGAACACTATGGCGCATGGTTGCAGAAAGGTAACAGTGGTTCTGTATGAAGTGCAATAACTACACTAGCCACATTTTTAAAACCCATTAATTTTGAATTTTCTTGTCAAAAGCATAACTCTATCTTTTCGGTGTTTTCGACATATTTTGAGATGGATGGTTTAATTACTAAGCTTTCATTGTCCTCCTAAAGGACATCTTCAGAGCAAAAGTGGATTCCAGAGTTAGCACCGAAGATACTGTCTAGAAGGACAATGAAGGGTCATCCTGACCTGACTGTAGGCAGAAAGCGTTGGTGTGGGATTCTTGTGGACAGAGTTCTTGATCCCACCTAGTTGGGAATATTCTGCTTGATTCTAGGTGTTCATTTCGTACTTAGACTGCACTGTGTAGCTGCCTAATGACACTGTACGGGTAACTTTGAGTCTTGATGTTATTATTGTTTATAGGGCAGAAAACTATCGAAGAATAGTCGTCTTTTTGTTGTTTTGGGACGTTTCTTGACTGCGCATGTCTCAAGGAGGTTTTGTCAGCCAAACAGTAGGACGCAGAGGTCGGTTTCTTGCGTTCAGATCACAACTAGTCGGTTTCGATAGTAGTACCAATATACAGTTTATTCTGGTGGTAATAGTCTCTAAGATATTTTTATCCAAAATGTTTTGAACTTTTCTCGAAAATTTTCAGTGTATATTCAAATAAAATTGAAAGCAGTTTCAAGTTATGATGCTACATTAGTTGAACTGCTGCAAAAATTATGAGAACTGGAGGTTAGGCACTGGAACGCTTTCTGATATTACCTAAGTTTGTGAGAATCTATTTACCATGTGACAAAATTTTATTGCGCCAGGATATGAGTCACACAGTTATTGTCTGTGCGTTAGTAATACTCTCCAGTTGCCGAGGCTGAATTAGGTGTAGCAACATTCGAACTTGAGACACATTAGCTACAAGTCGAATGTTCACTCAAATCATAATTCATTGAATATTTCGTTATTTGTTGTTCTCTAAAAAAATTTTCGCTCTTTTTCAGCAGATGCCAAGTTGAGAAAAGTCAGAATTGACCTGTCACTAGATTCAAACTCATTGGTTCAATAATCGACTGGCTCACTTGGGACCCGAAAAATCCTGGTTTTGATCCCTGTTGTAGTTGTGGATGCTTAATTTCGAAGAGTCCCCGGATGGGACGAAACACTCTTCCAGTGTCTCATGGTTTCCAATTGTCATCAGACTATCGTTGATTCTTGGTGAAAGCTACACTGAAATCGACCAAATGCTTATCAGCTGTACACTAGATAGCATTAAAGTTAGTTGATATTAGATGGTTGGAGGCTATTGGCAGAAAGCCTTACTCGACCTACGTTTCGTACTAGTTGGCACTCATCAGCTCAGTTGTGACGTCTCTGACTGCAGCAATGGGTAACGTGGGGACATGAGTTTCTTCAAAGTTGCAGATACGCCTTGCTGACTGGTGAGTGCCAACTAGTACGAAAGCTAGGTCGAGCAAGGCATCCTGCCGATTGCCTCCAACCATCTCAAATCAAAACCGTGATGGCCTCATTGCAAACGTGATTGATAGAATTCAGTCTGCACCAAAGAGAGGACTACACACATTGCACTAATCATTAACGGTTGTCCAGTCAAAACATTTAAGAACTATCCAGAAGTTTTACTACTATTTATTCAGTACTTTATGCAACAAAAATACATGAGAAGTAGTAGATATTATTTGAGAAATATTCTTCGCAGTGCATATTCATCACTGCAGCATAAAAATTAAAACCTGATTGTTTTTATTTTCCATTTTCGTTTAATTTAAATAAAGATGGATTTTACTGTGTATCATAGATCAACTTAAAGTTATTTGGTTGTTGGCAGCCAATAGTGTAATCCAGGGTGCACAGTTTTTCCTATTCGAAAATTATAGGTTGGGCGAAAACAACTATCCAGGGCTACCTAGTTTTCAGTGATCATCTAATTGATGTCAACTAGTGAGCTAATTTAAAACTAATCTAATCCCTGAGATCCAAGACTTGAACAAAAACTTGTTACTTGCTGGAATTATTTTGATTTTTTTTTACAGTAATTGACTGTATCGTACCATAATGTTCAGTCTCTTCTAACATGTTGACTACTGGAAGGGACACTTCAAAAATACCCTGAATTTGAGATATTCACTAGTTAATCGTTAGCAGTAGGATCTAAGAGACAATTTTCTATCCATCTAGGTTTTATCGCATAGTTATTCCAGAATCCTGATGAAAGTTAGTGCTCCAACTTAGACTTGAACACAGAGACTACCATTTTTGAACTTCAAGGTGTTATCCTTTAGGCTATTAAGTTGTGACAATCTTCTCTTGTGCAACAAATATCAGCTGTCACACCCTGAAATGAGTATTTTAAATTGATCCTTGATTGATATTTTGAGACGTATTTCTGGATCACTGCTAGCAAATCGGTTCCAGGAACAATAGTTTTGATGGTACAT